GCCCCGGTCTTGAAAACCGGTATAGTTTACAGAACTATCGAGGGTTCGAATCCCTCTCTCTCCTTCTTTTTCTTTGTTTATTATTGAATAGAATAGGTTCTTTATCGTGTGGTATCCAAAGGAAACGGGACTGGCGTGGCGAGTTGGGATAACCAAGCCAGTTCCGTTAGGCAAGGCAAGCCATAAAAAATAGATTGAATCTAAATTTCAAGGAAAAAGAACCCCATTTGATTGCTATTGAATATTCAATCTTCTATCCGATTATTTAAAGATGCTTACTTGAATCATTATATCCCTTGTTTCATCTCAATTGAGAGGGGTCATAGAAAGAACAGGTTCAAAATCACGATCAATTCCTTTTTCAAATCCGGCTGCAGCTGCACGAGCCCTTCCTGCGTGCCACAAATGACCTACGAAAAAGAAAAATCCTAGAACAAAATGTGAGGTTGCTAACCAACTTCGAGGAGAGACATAATTGACTGCATTAATCTCGGTAGCCACGCCACCCACGGAATTTAAAGAACCTAAAGGGGCGTGAGTCATATATTCGGCGGAACGTCGTTCCTGCCAAGGTTGTATGTCTTTTTTCAACCTACTCAAATCTAACCCGTTTGGTCCCCTTAGAGGCTCTAACCACGGAGCACGCAAATCCCAAAAGCGCATAGTTTCTCCTCCAAAAATGACTTCTCCCGTGGGAGAACGCATTAGATACTTACCTAAACCAGTAGGGCCTTGAGCGGATCCCACGTTCGCTCCAAGACGCTGGTCTCTAACTAGAAAGGTAAATGCTTGAGCTTGAGAAGCTTCTGGTCCAGTAGGTCCGTAAAACTCACTAGGATAAGCGGTATTATTGAACCAAACAAAACAACAAGCGGTGAAACCAAATACGGATAAAGCCCCTAAACTATAAGATAAATAAGCTTCACCAGACCAGACAAGTGCGCGGCGGGCCCATGCAAAGGGCTTAGTTAAGATATGCCAGATTCCACCAAGTATACAAATTGAACCTAACCATACATGCCCTCCAATTATATCTTCTAAATCGTCTACACTAACAATCCATCCGTCCCCACCAAAAGGAGATTTCAGTAAATAACCAAATATAATACCTGGACTCAGGGTCAAGCTGGTAATTTTTCTTAAATCTCCCCCTCCCGGGGCCCAGGTATCATATACACCTCCAAAATAAAGCGCCTTTAACACTAAAAGAAAAGCACCTATACCTAATAAGATTAAGTGAATACCTAAAATTGTGGTCATTTTATTTCGATCTTTCCATACATAACCAAAGAAAGGAAAAGATTCTTCAAGCGTCTCAGGTCCCAGAAGTGCATGATAAATACCGCCAAAGCCTAATATGGCAGATGAAATTAAATGAAGTACTCCAGAAACAAAGTAAGGAAAGGTGTCTAGAACTTCCCCGCCGGGCCCTACCCCCCAACCTAGAGTAGCTAGGTGTGGAAGTAAAATTAATCCTTGTTCATACATAGGCTTCTCTGGTCCGAAATGAGCTACTTCAAATAAATTCATTGCTCCAGCCCAAAATACTATTAATCCAGCATGGGCTACATGGGCCCCCAGTAGTTTACCGGATAAATTTATAAGTCGGGCATTCCCCGCCCACCAAGCGAAACCCGTGGTTTCTTGATCCCGACCAGTAAAGTCTAAAGTTCGATTAAAGAGCGTTTCCACGTGGTAGAACCTCCTCAGGGAATATAAGGTTTTCATGAGGCTGATCTTGAGCGGCCATCCAAGCACGAATACCTTCATTTAATAGAATATTTTTTGTGTAGAAAGTTTCAAATTCGGGATCTTCTGCTGCCCTAATTTCTTGAGAAACAAAATCATAGGCACGTAGGTTCAGGGCTAGGCCAACTACTCCCAGAGAACTCATCCATAAACCGGTTACGGGTACAAATAACATAAAGAAATGTAACCAACGTTTATTTGAAAAAGCAACCCCGAATATTTGGGACCAAAATCTATTAGCAGTAACCATTGAATAAGTTTCTTCAGATTGAGTTGGGTTAAAAGCGCGAAATGTATTTGCGCCATCGCCGTCTTCAAATAAAGTATTTTCCACGGTAGCACCATGAATAGCACATAGCAAGGCAGCGCCTAGTACACCGGCAACTCCCATCATATGAAAAGGGTTCAATGTCCAATTATGAAACCCTTGAAAAAACAGGATGAATCTGAATATAGCTGCTACACCAAAACTCGGTGCAAAGAACCAACCAGACTGACCTAATGGATAAATCAAGAATACAGAAACAAAAACAGCAATTGGAGCAGAAAATGCGATCGCGTTATAAGGTCGCAATTGAACGGATCGGGCAAGCTCAAATTGGCGTAACATGAAACCTATTAGTCCGAAAGCTCCGTGGAGAGCAACAAAAGTCCACAAACCTCCTAATTGACACCAACGAGTAAAATCTCCTTGCGCTTCAGGACCCCATAGTAACAACAAAGAATGGGCTAAACTATTAGCAGGAGTAGAAACTGCGGCAGTTAAGAAATTACACCCTTCTAAATAGGAACTAGCCAATCCATGGGTATACCATGAAGTTACAAAGGTTGTACCTGTGAACCAACCGCCTATAGCGAAATAGGCACAAGGAAAGAGCAATAAGCCGGACCAACCGACAAAAATGAAACGATCCCTACGTAACCAGTCATCCATATTATCAAATAAATCCTTGTCGTCTTTGGTAAATTTACCAAGAGCTATAGTCATAGTTATCCTCCTATTCAACTACGTTGACCATTTCCGAGCACCGCATAGCATTTTTGGGACATCTGAATATTTTTATCATTGCGATATGATTTATCTTGGATCGCCCCTTCCCATCGGTTTCGAAGATCCAATTTTTTTGGAAATATTTGAATGATTGGTCCATAAATGGTATAAAGAAATCCATGAACTTACTTGGATTCTTCTTTTGAGAACTTATCCTTGCATTCTGAATAGCTAATACCCATTTCATTGGATAGATCCATCCATATAAAAAAAAATGTTCTCAGACTTATTTCCTCATTTTCATTAGTATTATATAATGATAATGAAAATGAATTATTGCACTTTTATATCTTTTTCTCTCTATCTAATTTGAATATCATATATCATAATAGCGACTTTAGCCATTCTTACATGAGTCAGATCCACTTTAGTTTCCTTGGTTGTCATAAAAAAAAATAATAATATTTTAGGATTTCAGAATTGATAGCTCTTTTTTTTATTTCTTTTTAGATTTGATAACTTTAGTATAGAGTATAATATATAATTCAAATAATTAAATATAAACAAAAGTTAAACTTTTATTTCAAATCTAAAAAAATGCAATAATATTCATGATCAGGATAAGATATTATCCATTTATTTATTCTTATTACATAAAAAAAGACTTAAATGAGCCCCTTAGCGGATTTGAACCGATGACTTACGCCTTACCATGGTGTTACTCTACCACTGAGTTAAAGGGGCGTATTCCATTGAATTCCTAATATATTAAGAAAATCCAGAAAATAGACATCTATAAAAGATATATAGCTAGTCTATTGATATGAAATTTCATATTATGAATTTCAATAATAATGTAGATTCGGATAGATATGAATATTTCATATTATAAGAATCTTAATTGAATTACATGGAATAAAGAAAGACATCGGAGCCTACATTTTGAAATAGAACTACTTATTGGGCGGAGTAGATTTTAAAAATTGATCCAAAAATAGGAAAATACTAGATTTCTAATCGGGGTTCTAATCAAAGATTGCTTAATGGGAAATCAAAAAATTGAAAAACATAAATGATTAGAAAGGCAAAGGTCCGTTAGAATATTTAAATATTTTACATCTATTGACAATTTAAAAAAAAAGGTTCCTGCTATCACATCATAGTATGAGGTTGGTTGAACAAGTGGGCCCCCATCGTCTAGTGGTTTAGGACATCTCTCTTTCAAGGAGGCAGCGGGGATTCGAATTCCCCTGGGGGTAGGGTACTTTGAAAGGAAGCTTCTAATGGATTCATTACAAAGTTGAGTAGTAATTTGGTTTTTTCCTGGGTCGATGCCCGAGTGGTTAATGGGGACGGACTGTAAATTCGTTGGCAATATGTCTACGCTGGTTCAAATCCAGCTCGGCCCAATCATTCGCAAATCCCAATAAGAAAAAAGAACCTGGACTTGAAAAATATCTCAGAACTATACTGATAGATAGGTCAAAAAATAAAAATTTTGACTGGATTCCTTATTTGACGGGGATTGTAGTTCAATTGGTCAGAGCACCGCCCTGTCAAGGCGGAAGCTGCGGGTTCGAGCCCCGTCAGTCCCGATGGATCCAAAGAATAAATCAATAAGGTGACTGTTTCTCATTTTTATCTTGAAGTTTTATATGGGATTAAATCCCAAGTTATTGCGAAGTAAAAAAACAACGAGATTATGGAAGTCAATATTCTTGCATTTATTGCTACGGCCTTATTGATTTTAGTTCCTACCGCCCTTCTACTTATCATTTACGTAAAAACTGTCAATAGAAATAATTAATTAGTATTTAATCTATCTTAAAATAAACTTGTCTTCTGGGTTAGATCATTATATTATTAGATAATCTTATCAGAATAAATTCAAAAATAAAAATTCTATTACAAATTTTTGAAGGTTTTAATTTTAATAAAAAGAACTGGCTCAAATCAGCACTAAAGCAGGAGACTCATAGAATAGACTAATAGTAATAGATAATATGTTAAGAAAGTACAAAATAAAGGAAGTATGCTAAATTAATCAATAGATGACTCCTTTTTTTTTAACCTAAACTATCTATTAACTATTAGCGTTCTTTTTGCTTGAATAATATGTTTTATTGAAAGATTGAAAGAGCAGAATGGATTATTCACATGTTCTGAAACATTTTATAAAAAAATGAATACATTTTTATTTACGCAACATTCATTTAGTAGAACCTCTATAGTCCACTCCTTCCCCATATTACTAGTGAAAGAGAAAAGGTAAAAACTACCATTAAAGCAGCCCAAGCAAGACTTATTATATCGATATTCATTATGTCCTCTATCATTATAACTAGTTGATTTTTACTAAGTTCCTCATCAATTATAAGAAATTCATAAGAATAGCGGAATCCCCCGCGCAGAGTACACATAAAAAAGGAAAAAAGGGATTATGATTATGGAAGATGACCCAAAAAGAAAATGCAAAATATGCGAAACTGCAAAAGGATCTGGCCTTATTTTCCTCATTTAAGAAAAATAGCAATCCATATACAAATATAAAATCGCTAATTCTCATTCCGATCTAATCTGGCATCCTCCATATGATTATATAGGAGCTAGGAAACGACGGGATAGAGGTTATTCTGTTTACGATCAAAAGGGTTTTGAACATAATAATTCAAACAAGTAGTATGCGGAATTGTCCTTTTCCTTTATAGGAATCCTATGAACAACAAGTATTTCAAATTCTTTATAATCAGGCGACACCCGGATTTGAACTGGGGAAAAAAGGATTTGCAGTCCCTCGCCTTACCACTCGGCCATGTCGCCAAAAGGATACAAAAACTTTGGGAACGACTTTTTTGATTGTACTTGTTTCTTTCTTTTCTCCTAAAAAAATACTGTGAGTTTATTCCACTTTATTTTTTTTTTATTTTATTTGAGCCATCTAACTACAAATATAAAAAATATAAAAAAGTGTCTTTTAGTTGAATCAAAATCTTTTTTCTAAGATACTATAAAAAAGATTTTCAAATTATTTTTTTTATTATCTATGAAATTCTTAGAAATTCCTAAATCTTTTTTATAGTTCAGATATGGAGTTCGATACAATTTCATGTGATTCAGTAAAAACAATAGAAATTTCCTCATTAAGAAATCATCTATTTTCTTAGCTATTAGATGAAGGATTCATAAAGTTTCATAAAATCAATATAAATAATAATAAAGAAAATAAAAAGGAATTAAAAAAAAATGCTTGTAGATGTAAAAAAGGGCGGAGTTACTACAATCCCTGGATTGAATCAGATACAATTTGAAGGATTTTCTAGGTTTATTGATCAAGGTTTAATGGAAGAACTTTCTAAGTTTCAAAAATTGAGATCTAGATCACGAAATCCAGTTTCATTTATTTGTGGAAACATCTCAATTGGTAGAACCGTTGATCAAGGAAAGAGATGCTGTGTATGACTCACTAACATATTCTTCTGAATTCTATGTATTGGCAGGATTAATTTGGAGAGCAAGTAAGGATCGATCTACACGTATGCAAGAACAAATCATTTTTCTTGGCAGCATTCCTCTAATGAATTCCCTGGGAAGTTTTATAGTAAATGGAATCTATAGAATTGTGATCAATCAAATACTACAAAGCCCTGCATTTATTATCGGTCAGAATTGGACCATAACGGAATTTTGGTTTACACCGGCACAATAATATCAGATTGGGGAGGAAGATTAGAATTAGAAATTGATAGAAAAGCTAGAATATGGGCTCGTGTGAGTAGGAAAAAAAAAATATCGATTTAGTGCTATCATCAGCTATGGGATTAGATCTAAGAGAAGTTATAGATAATGCCTGTTATCCTGAAATTTTTTTATCTTTTCTGAGTGATAAGGATACAAAAAAAATTGGTTCAAAAGAAAACGCGATTTTGGAGTTTTATAAAAAATTCGCTTGCGTAGGCGGTGATCCGTTAGGGTATGAATACTTATGTAAGGAATTACAAAAAAATTTTTTCACCAAAGATGTGAATTAGGACGGCTTGGTCGACGAAATATGAACCGAAGACTTAATCTTGATATACCCCAGAATAATACTTTTTGGTACCACGAGATATATTAGCAGCCGCCGATCATTTGATTGACTCAAATTTGGAATGGGTACACTTGATGATATGAATCATTTGCAAAATAAACGTATTCGGTCTGTAGCGGATCTTTTACAAGATCAATTCGGATTAGCTCTCGTTCGTTTCGAAAATGTCGTTAAAACCACTATATGTGAAGCAATTCGTCATAAATTAATACCCACTCCTCAGAATTTGGTAACTTCAACTCCCTTAACAACTACGTATGAATCTTTTTTTCGGGTTACACCCATTATCTCAAGTTTTAGATCAACCAATCCATTGACACAAATAGTTCATGCAAGAAAATTTAGTTATTTAGGACCTGGAGGGCTGACAGGACGCACTGCTAGTTTTCGGATCCGAGATATTCACCCTAGCCACTATGGGCGTATTTGCCCTATTGACACATCAGAAGGAAGCAATGTTGGGCTTATTGGATCCTTAGCAATTCATGCGAGGATTGACGTTGGGGATCTCTAGAAAGTCCACTTTTTTGAAATTTCTGAGCGATCAACAAGGGTACGGATGGTTTACTTATCACCGGGTAGAGATGAATACTATATGGTAACGACAGGAAATTCTTTGGCCTTGAATCAGAATATTCAAGAAGATCAGGTTGTTCCAGCTAGATACTGTCAAGAATTCCTTACTATTGCATGGGAGCAAGTTCATCTTCGAAGTATTTTTTCCTTCCAATATTTTTCTATTGGAGCTTCCCTCATTCCTTTTATCGAACATAATGATGCGAATCGAGCCTTAATGAGTTCTAATATGCAACGGCAAGCAGTTCCCCTTGCTCGATCCGAGAAATGCATTGTTGGAACAGGGATAGAACACCACGCAGCTCTCGATTCAGGGTCTCTTGTTCTAGCCGCCCACATGGAAAGGTTGTTTATACAGATACTGACAATATATTTGTATCGGTCTCTGGCCTTGGAAAGATTCTAAGCATTCCATTAGTTGTGTATCAACGTTCAAACAAAAATACGTGTATGCATCAAAACCTCAGGTTGAACCGGGGCAATTTATTAAAAAGGACAAGTTTTAGCGGAAGGTGCTGCTACGGTTGAAGGCGAACTTGCTCTCGGAAAAACTTTATTGGTAGCTTATATGCCGTGGGAGGGTTATAATTTTGAGGATGCAGTCCTCATTAGCGAACGCTTGGTATATGAAGAGATTTATACTTCTTTGCACATAAGGAAATTTGAAATTAAAACTAATGTGACAAGCCAAGGCCCTGAACAAGTCACTAAAGAGATACCTCATTTAGAAGCCCATTTAATTCGCAATTTAGATATAAATGGAATTATAATGCAGGGATCTTGGGTACAGCCAGGGGATGTTTTAGTAGGTAAATTAACACCTCACGTGGTGAAAGAATCGTCGTATGCACCGGAAGATAGATTATTACGAGCCATACTTGGTATTCAGGTATCTACGTCAAAAGAAACTTGTCTCAAAGTCCCTATAGGTGGGATGGGTCGGGTTATTGATGTAAGGTGGATACAGAAGAAAGGGCTTTACAATTCTAATCTGGAAAAGATTCAGGTATATGTTTTACAGAAACGTGAAATAAAAGTGGGCGATAAAGTAGCTGGAAGGCACGGAAATAAAGGTATCATTTCAAAAATTTTGCCTAAACAAGATATGCCCTATTTACAAGATGGAAGAGCGATTGATCTGGTATTTAACCCATTAGGAGTACCTTCAAGAATGAATGTAGGACAGATTTTTGAATGTTCACTGGGGCTAGCAGGGAGTTTGCTAGATAGACATTATAGAATCGCACCTTTTGATGAGAGATACGAACAAGAAGCTTCGAGAAAAATAGTATTTTCTCAATTAAATGAAGCCAGTAAAAAAACAGCGCATCCATGGGCATTTGAACCCGAATACCCAGGAAAAAGTAGAATATTTGATGGAAGAACGGGTAATACTTTTGAACAACCTATCCTAATAGGTAACGCTTATATCTTGAATTACTTCATCAAGTTGATGATAAACTGCATGGGCGTTCCAGTGGACATTATGCGCTTGTTACACAACAACCCCTTAGAGGAAGAGCGAAACAGGGGGGGCAACGGGTAGGGAAATGGAGGTTTGGGCTCTCGAAGGATTTGGGGTTGCTCATATTTTACAAGAAATGCTTACTTATAATCGGATCATATTAGAGCTCGTCAGCAAGTACTTGGTACTACGATTCTTGGAGGTACAATATCTCATACAAAAAATGCTCCAGAATCTTTTAGATTGCTCGTTCGAGAACTACGATCTTTAGCTCTGGAACTGAATTATATCCTGGTATCTGAAAAGAACTTCCAGATTCATAGGAAGGAAGCTTAATCTAATCCGAACTATAAAAATTTTTATTTTATGATTGATCGATATAAACATCAACAGCTGCGAGTTGGATTGGTTTCTCCTCAACAAATAAGTGCTTGGGCCAGTAAACTTTTGCCAAATGGTGAAATAGTTGGCGAGGTAACAAAACCTTATACTTTTCTTTATAAAACAAATAAACCAGAAAAAGATGGATTATTTTGTGAAAGAATATTTGGGCCTATCAAAAGTGGAATTTGCGCGTGTGGAAATTATCGAGTTATCGGAGATAAAAAAGATAAACCCAAATTTTGTGAACAATGCGGAGTTGAATTTGTGGATTCTCGGATCCGAAGGTATCAAATGGGCTATATCAAACTAGCCTGCCCAGTAACTCATGTGTGGTATTTAAAACGTCTTCCTAGTTATATTGCGAATATTTTAGATAAACCTCTTCAAGAGTTAGAGGGCTTAGTATATGGCGATGTGTGATTTGATCGAAATTTTGATTTTACAGATTCAGAACAAGAAACTGTTATCCCAGTTAATCCAATTGGGATGCCCTAGACCTGACATGTGAATTGAAAGCAAAACATGAAGCTCAGAATGGGATGTAGTAATTACACTTCCACAAAAAAAAAGGGAGTTGATCTATGGTTGATTTCATTCCAAATCAAATAAATAGGATTTTTTCTTTGTACCTCGTAAAAAAAAAGAAACTTTTTTGTTTTGTTGAATGAACCTTAAAATTTCCTATTTCCTCTCATTTGGAAATTCAAGTAAGCAAATTAGGGCATGGTTATAGGAGTTTATTGATCGCATATAGGCTTTAGTAAAAAGGGCTTAGCGTCCGCCTAACCATCGAGATATATATAGTGGGGCCTAAAAGATCAAATGGAACAATCTAGAGACAAGTAAATCCCTTATTAATTCTAAATTACTACTTTACTAATATGGCGTTTCCTTATTAATACGTAGTGGATTCATTGTTCGAGGGGAAGGAGACTACTCAAAAATTTACATTTCATTTATGTTGTAATTGAACTTAAGAATTCCCAAATTAGAATAAGACTCAATTCAATATAAATCAAAAATGAAATAGTACGGGTTATATATTGCTTTGCCATCAATGGAAACTTGAGTAAGGAGTAGAACTTTTTATCTTTTGAATTTGGGGTTGTCAATAATTTGAAACGAAGAGATACTTGTGTTTCTTTTCTTCTTTATTGTTTACTTCATGTACCTACTTGAGCCGGATGAAAGAAAACATTCACGTCCGATTTTGAGGGGGGAACTCTTATAAAATCCTATCCCAATTTTTCTTTTGCTAGGCCCATAACTAAAAAAACCACTTTCTTACGATTACGGGGTTTATTCAAAGATGAAATCCAATCGTGGAAATATAGCATTCGACTTTTTTCAATACTCAAGGTTTCAATACATTTCGAAATCGAGAATTTCTATGGGGGCCTGTGCTATCCGAGAACAATTAGCCGATATAGATTTGCGAATGATTGCAGAAAATTCATTACTAGAATGGAAAGATTTGGGGGAAGAAAAGCGCACAGGGAATGAATGGGAAGATCGAAAAGCTACAAGACGAAAGGATTTTTTGGTTAGACGGATAGACTTAGCTAAACATTTTATTCGAACAAATATAGAACCAGAATGGATGGTTTTATGTCTATTACCAGTAATTCCTCCTGAGTTGAGACCTATTATTCAGATCGATGGGGGGAAACTTATGAGTTCAGATATTAATGAACTCTATCGAAGAATTATCTATAGGAATAATACACTTACCAATCTATTAAAAACAAGTAAATCTACGCCAGATGAATTAATAATATGCCAGGAGAATTAGTACAAGAGGCTGTGGATACACTCTTGATAATGGAATCCGCGGGCAACCAATGAGGGATGGGCACAATAAAGTCTACAAATCAATTTCGGATATAATTGAAGGCAAAGAGGGAAGATTCCGTGAAACTCTGCTTGGTAAACGAGTTGATTATTCAGGACGTTCTGTTATTGTCGTTGGCCCCTCGCTTTCATTACATCAATGTGGCTTGCCGCGTGAAATAGCAATCGAACTTTTCCAGCCTTTTGTCATTCGCGATCTAATAAGAAAACATCTTGCCTCGAATATAGGGGTTGCAAAAAGGCAAATTCGACAAAAAGAATCACTTGTATGGGAAATACTTCAAGAAGTTGTGCAAGGGCATCCTGTATTGCTGAATAGAGCGCCCACTCTCCATAGATTAGGCATACAGGCATTTCAGCCCATTTTAGTGGAGGGGCGTGCTATTTTTTTACACCCCTTAGTTTGTAAGGGGTTCAATGCAGATTTTGATGGAGATCAAATGGCTGTTCATGTACCTTTATCATTGGAGGCTCAAGCCGAAGCCCGTTTACTTATGTTTTCTCATATGAATCTTTTATCTCCGCTATTGGGGATCCCATTTCCGTACCAACTCAAGATATGGTTATTGGACTTTATGTATTAACGAATGAGAATCGTCGAGGTATTTGTCTTAATAGGGCAACTAAATGTAATACACGAAATCAAAGCAGTGACAATCGTAATTATAAGTATAAAAATGAACCCTTTTTTTGTAATTCCTATGATGCAATTAGAACTTATCGGAAGAAACAAATAAATTTAGATAGTCCTTTGTGGCTCCGATGGAGACTCGATCAACGCGCCATTACTTCAAGAGAAACTTTAATAGAAATTCATTACGAATCTCGAGGGACTTATTATGAGATTTTATGGACACTATCTAATAGTCCGAAGTATAAGAAAAGAAACTCCTTTTTTATATATTCGAACCACTGTTGGACATATTTCTCTTTATCGTGAAATTGAAGAAGCTATCCAAGGATTTTCTAGGGTCTGGTCGAGACCTAACAGAATTTGATGATATAAATACCAACCGGTAATTTGGGGCTCCCGATTTAACTAGGACCTGAGCTACGGAATTTCTACGTGAATAAAGATCCAGAAAAGTAAGTTTTCAAATCATTGACTAAAATTCATTGTCTTGCCGAATCCTACTTAGCCAAACAAGGAGGTACTTATGGCAGAACGGACAAATCTGGTCTTTCACAATAAAGTGATAGACGGGACTGCCATGAAAGGATTTATTAGTAGATTAATAAATCACTTCGGAATGGCATATACATCACATATCCTGGATCAAGTAAAAAATCTGGGTTTTCAACAAGCGACTACTGTATCCATTTCATTAGGAATTGATGATCTTTTAACAATACCTGCCAAGGGGTGGCTTGTTCAAGATGCTGAACATCAAAGTTCGAT